AGCAGGAGTTCTCGGGATGCCTGGACTGCAGACGATGCCAGCTGACAGCTTCATATCTGTGGCCCCACAGAAGATGATGCGGAACACCGCGTATCGTTGTGTATTCGGAGCCCAGCTTCTTTCAATGATCTCTGAGTTCGGATGCACTTTTAGATCTTCAGGGCAAGCAAAGCATGTTCCATTGCCGTGAAAGGGTGCCCGCTCATGTTGCCCCCTTTTCCACCCTTCTCCCCCTCCCGCTGTCGTGGCTTGTCGCTTATGGTCTCTGCACAAACTTTGCAGACGACTTTGCAAGCGACGGCTCCCAGCTTCATGGAGGCTGTGGCGGCTGTCGCCTGTGATGTCGAGCTGACTGAGCTCCCGACAATTCTTCAACAGGGTTGGTTCTCGGACGTTTTGGTGGTTGGGCCTCTGCTGGATAGGACATATAGGACTCTGCAGACTCCTCGGTAGGACTTACCATGTGAATGCACGAGCTGGTGGCCTGATGCGCGAGGCCGCTTTCCGAAGCAAGCTCCCTACTCTCTGGGTGCTTGCGCAAGCCGCGTAGCCATGGGGTGAGGCAGGCGGACTTGACCTGACCTCGGTACGCTGCCTCTGTGTGGCGTGTGTGGCACGGGTGGGCCATGCACGACCTGGTGGCGTTGCTTGCCAGATGTTGAAGTGCGAAGCAAGAAATCTATCCCAAGCTTTCCTCAGGCAAGCTACCTGCTCAGCTTGAGCGAGGCCTCGACTTGCTGGAACTACTCCTGATATTCCTCAGGCATTCCCCTGGGGTACCTGCTCTTCGCATTGATGCCGTTCAAGTCCCTCCAAGCAGGCTGCGCTTGCCGCCAGATCCTCGAAGGGGTCTGGTGCTGTCCGTGTGAACCGAAGTGACAGAAGTGATCTTGTCGTGCTCTGTACAGGTCTTGAATGCCCCGTAACACGTAGCAAGACGTAGCAAGAGATAGTAAGCCCAGCCCCTGCCCTCCAGGACCCCCCTAGCATTGCATAAAGGACCCTATAGGTCGTTGACAAGTTGGCGTATGACACCTTGAGGTCTTCCAAGCCTCCGGATGCATGCCGGATGCATGCTGCGGCAGGTTGCGGCTGCGGGGCTGCAGGAACATGACTTGTGTGGAGCACGTGGAGCATGTGTTCATTTGATGCTTTGCCCGCTGCCATCGTGCTTGCCCTTGTAAATATCCTGCATCATGAGTCGTGTGAGTCGTGTGAATAGTGCGTGGCTGCTCTGAAGGCTCTGCGTGCCATAGGCCAGGAATTCGCACCCTGCTCGTGGTTCGAAAGACTGCGAGGTGATGCGGTCTTTCGAACCAGTTGCCTGGGCAGTTTTCTGGCCGAAGTACGAACGGTCAAGCACAACACGGGTCGCTGGACCCGCGGCGCCGCGGCGTCGAAGTCCAAGTGCCAGGTCTCTGGGAACCCAAGGAGATATTGATATGGCAGCTATTTGACATATGGCTCCTGACATAACAGCTTGCTTGTCTGGAGCTCAGCGTTGCAGGAGTTTGAAGGGATTGGGATAAAGGTGACTTTGTCGAGAACACGAGGCTGTGACAAAGCTTGCGTTCTGTTAACTGACCTCAACGTGCGAGCTGGGTGAGCTTCATTGGCCTAGTACCACGAAATCTACGCTCGCGGTAGATCCGGCACGCTTGCGAAACGTACACCTGCTGTCGCATTGCTGAAGTGCCTGGAGCGCCTGGAGTGCGTGTTTTACCGGATGCGGTGGGGGCGCCTTGTCCGTGCCATTCCGTGCCACTCCGTGCCATTCCGTGCCATGTCTCTTCGTGTGCGCACACAGTATGCGCGAAGATGGCCGTGGAGCACTGCTTGCGCTTGAAGCTGAGCGTCGCTGCCGACGAGCCATACACTTCGCACTGAAGTGACACAGGCGACACATGTGACAACCTCGGACCTGCTTCGAAGGCTGGTCAATGACTGGTGTGTGCCTGCCCTTCAGCGTACTGTGCCGGCTCTTGTCATTCTTGTCATGCCATTCCATGCCGCTCTCTTTCGGGCACGCACGTTGCTGCTTTAAGTGCATTCACTCGAAGCAGAAACAATCGCTTTGGCCACTTCGGCGCCTTGGGCTCATGTTTGGGTACTGGGACAGACTCGAGCTTGCTTGATAAGCTTTAGGTTTGTCCGGTGCTTCTCTGGGCTTCACTGGGTTTCTGTGACTGCAACCTGACATGAAGGCCTTGTGTGGGTCAGCCCGGATTCGGACCGTGGATGCGCCTCTGTAAACAGGTTTGCAGAGTTGGTTCTGACAGGCTCGAAAGGTCCGACGTCGTCAAGAGCAGGCGACCGCTGTGTGTTGCCTCTGGGCAACTCATTGTCTCTGTCATGCCACTCTCCATGCTCGAACATGGTGTAAGTCTTTGGCTTTGCGGGGTTTCCAGTGTTGCCCCCTTCGCATCACGCAATCCACGCAATCCAGGCAACAATGTGCTTGCTGCGTCTGCTGCGTGCGGAGTTTGCCCGACGATCCTGGTTTGGATGGCCGGCCTCTGCTTTAATTGATAAGTCCGATGAGGTTGAAGGTGATGTGTAGAGAGGTGGCAGGAGCTGGCCTGCATTTCCGGCATTTCCCATGCTGCACACCTTGGACATGTGCGCATGCCTGCGCATGCCTGCGCATGCCTGCGCATGCCTGCGCAACCAAGATGGATGAGCTCTATGGCGCTTGAGCCGCTTCAGGGCTGCAACTGCAATACGCGAAACTAGCATGAATCAATGAAGCTCCTGGATGCTCTTTTGGGAGACAGGGAGCGAATGCCCCAGATTTGCCATCGCCCAATATCGCGATTGCAAGAGAGGGATCTCTCCGAGCTTTTTGGGTGTTTTGGGCTCTTTTGCCGCTCGGAAGGCGCTCTGCGCTCTCCAAGCGCTGCTCTCAATGTTTGGTGGCGATCTTCGCCTAAGAAGCCAACCATGCACATATGCCTCCTTCATCCTCTTCAGGTGACTTGTGCCTGATCAGACACAGGCTTTTGGAAGACTCCGCAATCCTACACTGGAAAGGGTCCGTTGTTGTTTGCGCACTGTGCTCAGCTCCGCCGCGCCCGGGCTCTCGCCCTCACGCCTCCTATTGGCCCCGCAGCACGCGGCCAAGTCTGAACGCATGCATTGCACGATGCTGCATGTGCTTCTCCAAACAGGCATCCATTCATGTGGTGTCGCGCTGGTCCTGGCACAGGGCTCCGTCTCTCACACCAGCCCCTCCGCGCGCTCCTGGCTCCTCGCTCCATTCCGGCCACGCTGGGCACAGACCGAGGTTGCGGCGGCCACGGAGAGATCGTGGGAAGGTGCCGAAGCTGTTTCCGAGGCTGTTTCCGAGGCTGCGCCCCCTGTTGAATGCTTGAAGTGGCCAAAGCCTGCGTCGTCGATGCGCCCTCGCTACGAGCATCTTGACCGTCCAGCTGTCTTTTTAGGGGTCTCTCACACTGCTAATTTGTTGATTGGGGTGGACGCGCTCTTCGATTCTCTTGGGCGGGGCACGAAGTATGGGCGCAGGTGTCGTGCAGGCCCTACAAGAAGCTCTCTCCGGGAAATGATTCTGTTCTCGTTCCCTTCTCACTCTTTTCACATGAGTCTTCTCCCTCAGAGATCTTTTCTCAGAGATGAGAAGCTCAGAGAATGAGCGAATTTCCTCGAAAATGTCACAACACTTCGTCACAACACTTCGTCACAACATTTCGTCACAACACTTCTAAGAAAGCATTTCCCCCCCAAAAAAGGGGGGAAAATCAACAACACGGGGAGAGAGCGCTCTCTTCCTCTGAGGAGAGCGCTCCCCCAACTTTCTTCCTGGAACCCCTGAGCCTCGACACGCCGGTCCTCCTTCCATCCCTCTGAGAGGAGTGCTAGGAGGAGCTAAAAGGAGAGGAGGGAGCTGAAAGGAGGGAGCTGAAAGAGCATCTTCGCTCTCTCTCCTCCAGTGTCCTCAGGAAAACTCCAACTCGGTGAGCTGCGCCACCGCACGGGGCGCGCGGGCAAAAGAAGAGGGAAGAAAGGAGGGAGGGCCTCTCTTTTGAAAGGAGACTAGGAAGGTTCAGGGAGCTTTGCCCAGACCAAACGTTGGCCAGCAATCATCTCTCCAATGAGAGGTTGTGAGCTGAGGAGCTGAGGACGTCGGAAGCCAGCAAGGCCAGCAAGGCCAGCAAGGCCCTCTGGGCCCTCTTGCTTCTGTCCCTTACGGCCTCTATGCCTCCATGATGGCCTGTGAGAGCCTTTGCCGCCGTTTAAGGGCGGGGATCCGCAGCCACCGCAAGCCCCACAAGCTGCACCTGCACTCGCGGTGATTGCTTCAGTTGCTTTTCGACCTTCGCAAGATCCCGCTGTTAGGCTGGCTGGCGTCGAAATGCAGGGCATGGACACGGCAGTTCTAGCAGACCTTTGAGCGTGCCAATGTGAGAACTTGAAACCCGCACTTCGGATTGCTCCATGATATGCCGTTTGCCTCTGTTTGCCTCTGTTTGCCTCTGTTTGCCTCTGTGCAGCCGAAAGAGGAGAGAGCTGCGCTCGCGTTCTGGATGCTGCACGGCAGCCACAGCAGAGAGCGCCCCGCGCTGCAACCCGCTGCGCAGCGGCAAAGCTCCAGGGACGCAGAGTCCTGGGAGACGCGGAGGGTGTCAAATGTGTCAATGTGAGTCAATAGGGTGATCCCGGGATTGTCCAAAGGATGGTCAAATATGCCTTGAGAAACCAGAGCCACGTTCGACCATGTTGCTGGCAGTTTTTGAACGTGCACTCCTTTCATGCTGCAGTGCACTTTTCGGCTATAGGTTCATTTGTTGCGACTGTTATGACAGGTTTTTTGTGATGGTTGTTTTGGCCCGAGCTCTCAAGAGCCATAGCCATAGGACCGGCAACGGACGTTGGAGCAGCAGGCCAGAATGTCAACGTGCATTCGCTGTGCGTTCGCTGTACCGTGTTCCCTCTCTTTTTTCAGTGTGCAGACCTGTAGAGACATTGCCGAGTGCATGTCAGGCATGTCGCATCGCAAGTTCGAGCGCCCCCGTCACGGATCCCTGGGATTCCTGCCCAGGAAGCGGACGAGGCAACACTTGGCTTGGTGATGTGAGGATGTTCTCGTGTGGCAACAAATCATCCGTGTGTTTAAGAGCGTCACCATGTTGTACTCGCAGGCACCACCAGGGCAAGATCAAGAGCTTCCCGAAGGACGACCAGTCTAAGGCCCCGCACTTCACGGCCTTCATGAGCTACAAGGCGGGCATGACGCACATCGTGCGGGAAGTTGATCGGCCGGGGTCCAAGCTTCACAAAAAGGAGATCGTGGAGCCCGTTAGCATCGTCGAAAGCCCTCCCATGATTGTGGTGGGCTTCGTGGGCTACGTCGAGACCCCTCGTGGCCTCCGTGCACTGACCTCCGTGTGGGCAGGACACCTCTCCGAGGAGTGCAAGCGCCGCTTCTACAAGACCTGGCACACATCCAAGCAGAAGGCCTTCACCAAGTATCAGAAGCGCTGGGAAGAGGCAGGCAAGGATGGCACCCCCATGGCTGCGGAGGTTGACCGGGCCAAGAAGTACTGCCAGGTCATCCGGGCGATCTGTCACACACAGGTGGGCAAGGTGCGAATTGGCCAAAAGAAGGCGCACATCAAGGAAATCCAGGTGAACGGAGGCACCACAGAAGCCAAGGTGGATTTCGTCATGGGCCTGTTTGAGAAGGAGGTCAAGGTGGCTGATGTCTTCAGTCAGGATGAGATGATTGATGTGATTGGTGCGACGAAGGGCAAGGGCTTCAATGGAGTGGTGACTCGTTGGGGTGTGACGCGGCTGGTCAGGAAATCGCACCGCGGGCTGCGCAAGGTGGCATGCATTGGCAGTTGGCACCCTGCCCGCGTTTCGTTCCAAGTACCCCGGTCAGGCCAGCGCGGCTACCACCATCGCACCGAGATCAACAAGAAGATTTATCGTGTTGGCAAGGCCCTGAAGGACGATGCCAACAATGCCAGTACCGAGAACGACCTCACGGAGAAGCCTATTACTCCCATGGGTGGATTCTCACACTATGGCGAAGTCAGGGAGGATTGGATCATGCTCAAAGGCACTGTCATGGGCCCGCGCAAGCGCCTGATCACGCTGCGCAAGTCCTTGTTGCCACAAGTCACCCGCAAGGCCCTGGAAAAGGTGACCCTGAAGTTCATCGACACCTCCTCCAAGTTCGGCCACGGCCGCTTCCAGACAAGTGATGAGAAGAGCAAGTTCTACGGCGGGGCGCAGAAGAAGGCCAAGACGGAGGCCAAGGCCGAGGAGGCGTGAACCTGTGTGACTGCTAGACCTGCGTGCTTCACAGGACAAAAATGGTCCAGTGCTTGCAGGCTGCTTTGTCTTTTTCTTCTGCTGGCTGTGTAGCGGTGTTTCCGATCGCAGGTAGGTTTCGGTTCAAGGCGCGCTCAACAGGCTTCTCGCCATGTCGCACCGAAAGTTTGAGCGCCCGAGGCATGGCTCCCTGGGCTTCTTGCCTAGGAAACGAACAAGGCCTCTTGACACTTCGCCTCAGATGTTAAACGTGATGTTGTGCCTGCTTGAAGGTTTGTGGAATGGGCTTGTTGAATGTATACTGTCTAGATGAATGCATCTTAGGGCAGCGGTGTTGATCTGAGAACTGTCGTCGAGTGATGCGCAGTGTGCCGGCTTCTGCGTTCGCAGGCACCACCAGGGCAAGATCAAGAGCTTCCCGAAGGACGACCAGTCTAAGGCCCCGCACTTCACGGCCTTCATGAGCTACAAGGCGGGCATGACGCACATCGTGCGGGAAGTTGATCGGCCGGGGTCCAAGCTTCACAAAAAGGAGATCGTGGAGCCCGTTAGCATCGTCGAAAGCCCTCCCATGATTGTGGTGGGCTTCGTGGGCTACGTCGAGACCCCTCGTGGCCTCCGTGCACTGACCTCCGTGTGGGCAGGACACCTCTCCGAGGAGTGCAAGCGCCGCTTCTACAAGACCTGGCACACATCCAAGCAGAAGGCCTTCACCAAGTATCAGAAGCGCTGGGAAGAGGCAGGCAAGGATGGCACCCCCATGGCTGCGGAGGTTGACCGGGCCAAGAAGTACTGCCAGGTCATCCGGGCGATCTGTCACACACAGGTGGGCAAGGTGCGAATTGGCCAAAAGAAGGCGCACATCAAGGAAATCCAGGTGAACGGAGGCACCACAGAAGCCAAGGTGGATTTCGTCATGGGCCTGTTTGAGAAGGAGGTCAAGGTGGCTGATGTCTTCAGTCAGGATGAGATGATTGATGTGATTGGTGCGACGAAGGGCAAGGGCTTCAATGGAGTGGTGACTCGTTGGGGTGTGACGCGGCTGGTCAGGAAATCGCACCGCGGGCTGCGCAAGGTGGCATGCATTGGCAGTTGGCACCCTGCCCGCGTTTCGTTCCAAGTACCCCGGTCAGGCCAGCGCGGCTACCACCATCGCACCGAGATCAACAAGAAGATTTATCGTGTTGGCAAGGCCCTGAAGGACGATGCCAACAATGCCAGTACCGAGAACGACCTCACGGAGAAGCCTATTACTCCCATGGGTGGATTCTCACACTATGGCGAAGTCAGGGAGGATTGGATCATGCTCAAAGGCACTGTCATGGGCCCGCGCAAGCGCCTGATCACGCTGCGCAAGTCCTTGTTGCCACAAGTCACCCGCAAGGCCCTGGAAAAGGTGACCCTGAAGTTCATCGACACCTCCTCCAAGTTCGGCCACGGCCGCTTCCAGACAAGTGATGAGAAGAGCAAGTTCTACGGCGGGGCGCAGAAGAAGGCCAAGACGGAGGCCAAGGCCGAGGAGGCGTGAACCTGCACGACTGCTAGACCTGCGGAGCCTGTTTGCCTGGACCGTTTGCAAAACAAGCGCTGGAAAGTGTCGTTGATTGCCTTCAAAGCACCTGAATCGGCGTGACCTCAAATGATTGTCATCGCTATGCGTTTAGGGGAATGTTCATGATTTCCGGCTCCAGCGGATGTGCTGCCGAAAGCTGTAGGGCACATCTCTGCAAAACTGCGTTCCTCATTCCCATAGACTTCATTCATACGCCATTACACGTATCTACGAGTGTGAGAAGGGTCCTAGCTTGCCGGCTTGCCGGTGCGCTTCTTATCACGTGGCAGAGAGGCAGGGCTTGTTTCTTGAAACCTGATGCGTTTTGATATCGCGGTTGAGTCATTGCTCCGCGTTTGCAGGGTGATGGCGGTCACAGCAGGCCACGTACCAGAAGTAGAAGTGTAGCAGAAGTGTAGCCGAAGTGTAGCAGAAGTGTAGCAGAAGTGTGGTAGTAACAGCAGGGCCTCCACTCGTTGATTCGTTGCAAAAATTTGAGTTCGTGAGTGTTCGAGGTGCTGAGCTTGGCATAGAGTTCCAAATCAAGTCCAAGCAGTTGGAGGCTGTGGGGCTTTGCATCGGCCCAAACGTTGCAGTAACGTTGCATCAAAATGAAAACAGAGGCGTGTGGGACATGGAGGGAAAAGAAGCTGCTGCCTGCTTTGGAATCTGCAGAATCTCGCGCAAGGCGAAGCAGCTGAAGGCAAAGGCCGCCGGGTGGGGGAAAATTCCGGAAAGCTCCGCCGGCCCCGTCGGCCTCTCAGTGCGGAGTACTCGCTTATCGGAGGTACAGGAAGCTCGCTTCCAAGCACAACAGCTCCGCATCCAGTTGCAGGCGCCAGGGAACCGCAACGGTAGCCAAGGGTAACCAGAAGGATGTCAAGAGAGGGCCAAGTGATTTGGACCTTAGAGCAGAAGCGTGTGCTGTTGCGCCAAAGCACCTGAAGCTGTCGTTTAACCTCACGCTGCACGACTGCATCATCCAACAAAAGCAAAAGCGAGTCTTGGAATTCCGAAAGGCGCCTGAAAGCGCCCGAAAAACCCGGAAAGACACCGCCGAACGCTTGCTGGCTAAGACAGTTGTAAGAAGAGGCTGGAGCACTACCCGTTCTTTCTTGTAGAGCGTTCGGAGATATTCGTTGGTTGGAACCTTTGCGGAGGCACTGGGTGTTCAAGACAATTTGGTACCGAGCAGGATCCAGGCGTGGAGCTGCGGAGCTCAAAAGACAAATGTGAGAGACCGAGGGAAGGGAGGCAGGCGAGGGAGGAAGAGAGTGAAGAAGGTACTTTGGTCGTGAAAGCTCGTGTCAGGCTGGAAGTGGCACCGAAGAGCCCTCCGAGTTCCGTGCCCTCTTGGAGGCCTTGAAAACATCGCCTTCACAATCGCCTTCGCTTCGCCTTTCCTTCGCCTTCTCTCCAATTTGTGATCAGTTCCTGTTAGCAGGGGCTCTGGCCGACTCTATTGCCCCAAGCGTCTTGGGTGGGCCTCGGTCAGTTCGAGATGACGGACCCATACAGAAGGAACTATACGGAACCTAGTCTGCTCACATTCACAACGCACGAAAGGCAGCAAAGCACGAAGAACGCGAGACTCCCTTCTTGCGAGCCTGAGAGCACCCCATGCAGAGATTCGAACGTTGTTCTCGGTCAACATGGGGGCTTTGGGGGACGCGGCTTGGTGTCTCCCTTCATCGTGACTTGTGCTTTTGAGTGTCATGTGTTTCTTCACGCGCCCGCTTCGTATTTTGAGAGCTCGAGTCACAAGCTGACATATCCTGACGTCTCCTGACCTATCCTGATTCTTACGCTGCCCCTATTCTGACAGTGGCTGGTTGCAGCCACGGACCTGCAGCGCCAAGTCCTCTTCGAGTGTGGCACTGGCGAGGAGAGGGTTCCATTTTTTTGCGAATCTTTCAGTCTCAGTCTAATGCTGTGCCTTGCTTGGCCTTGCTTAAACACTTCGTTCTCTCTCTTTTCGTGCTTCTTTGGTTCTCTCTCCGTGACTCTTCCAGGGAGAGGTGCAAGTGGGTGGCCGACGGGTAATGTTGCATCGCATGGCCGGATGCCCAGCCTGGAGTGTTGCGGGGATCCAAGGGGATCTCTCAGATTACGTTCTGCATCGTTCTGCTGCCTCAGCTTGTTTTTCCGTGTGAGCCGTGAGTGTGCCGCTTGTGAACCGCGAGTCGTGAGTGTCAGCTGTGTTGCCTACCCGGCCCTGGCTCAGGTGACTTGGCAAATGAGGGACTCGCAGTTGAAGCTCTCCGTTCCGCTGGAGCTGCAGGCGGTCCAAGGAGTCCCAAGTCTCCCCAAACATGGGAGTCCAAAACGGAGTCCAACAGAGCAGATTCTTTGTGCTCTGTGCTCCGTCGCAGTACTGTACCTGCAGGCAGAGATTGCTGGCCTGCTGAGTGATGCCCGAAAACGAGGCGCATTGTGAAGAGCAGAGAACGTGGTGAGTAGATTCAGTGGCAGACTCAGTGTAGATGTCCGCAAGATGTCCGCAAGATGTCCGCAAGATGTCCGCAGGACGTTAGAAGCATATTCTTGTCCCCAGGGCGGATGGATGAGGCAGTGCTGCAGCGGTTGGCCAGTGCTTGGGAGGCGGGGGCACATCTGGGCACATCTGGGCACCGTGTTTTTGTGTTTTCGTGAGTTATGTTGAGTTATTGTTGAGTTATGTCTTGAGCTTGTAGATGTGAGATGTGACATGTCGGGTTGGGGAGCGCTGGAGTTTCTCGGAGGCTCGCATGTTCGTGTCGCTTCAAGCTTGTACACACTGTACAAGTCGCAAAGCCACATTTTCCTGTAAGAGGTCATGGCGGCCGAGGCCAGTCCAGCGTGTGGTCATATGTGGAAATTTGTGGTCGTGGCTGTAGCGGCTGTAGTTGACGGTGTTGTGGGTCCTGAGGTCGTCTCCGCAAGCGGCGGGAGAATGCCGGAGCCAGCCATCTTCCTCGTCCACCGATCCACCGCACAGGCGCAGCTCGGGAAAACATGCGCCAAGGAACACGTGCCATGAGCCAGGGCCAGAGTGTTGAGAACTCTTAGGCCGTGGTCGTGGCCAAGTGGCCGTCTGTGGATTTTACGCGACTTGGGCCACCGACAATTCGAAAGTAAGTGTCTGTGTCTGTGCCTGTGACTGTGTCCGTGTCCGTGTCTGTGTCTGTGTCCGTGTCTGTGTCTGTGTCTCTGTCTGTCTCTGTGTGTCTGTCTCTGTGTGTGTGTGTGTGTGTGTGTGTGTGTGTGTGTGTGTGTGTGTGTGTGTGTGTGTGTGTGTGTGTGTGTGTGTGTGTGTGTGTGTGCGTGCGTGCGCGCGTGCGCGTGCGTGCGCGTGCGCGTGCGCGTGCGCGTGCGCGTGCGCGTGCGCGGCGCGTGCGCGTGCGCGTGCGCGTGCGCGTGCGTGCGCGGCGCGTGCGCGTGCGCGTTGGCGCGTGCGCGTGCGCGTGCGCGTGCGCGTCGTGCGCGTGCGCGTGCGCGTGCGCGTGGCGCGTGCGCGTGCGCGTGCGCGTGCGCGTGCGCGTGCGCGTGCGCGTGCGCGTGCGCGTGCGTGTGTGCGTGTGCGTGTGCGTGTGCGTGTGCGTGCGCGCGCGCGCGCGCGGGCGCGCGGCGCGCGTGCGTGCGCGCGCGTGCGCGCGCGTGCGCGCGGCGCGCGTGCGCGTGTGCGTGTGCCGTGTGCGTGCGCGCGCGTGTGTGTGCGTGCGCGTGCGTGTGCGTGCGTGCGCGTGCGTGTGCGTGCGTGTGCGTGCGTGTGCGTGCGTGCGCGTGCGTGTGCGTGCGTGCGCGTGCGTGCGCGTGCGTGCGTGCGTGTCTGTGTGGGTGGGTGGGTGGGCGGGTGGGGCGGGTGGGTGTGTGGGGAAAGCCCGTTACCAAGGTCATTTGCAGTTGTGCCAGTTCGTATACTCTGCAGGGGGGCAAGGGCTCCAGTGCCAGAGGCTTGCCCAACGAAGCCAAGTCACTGGAGCGGATGTGCAAAGTCCTTGTTTTGGAATACAACTACATCCTACTCATGAAGGGTGTGTCATGATGGCCGGCGTGCCTTGCTCTTCCACCCTGAAAGAAATAGCACCGAGTATCAGAGGGAGGATTGCACTAGTGTGCGTGTGCGTGCAACCCAAACCATGGCACACAGAACTCAGAAGTGGGGGGGGGGGGGGGGGGGGGGATTTTGGGGGGACACTGGGGGGACCCTAGGCCCTAGTTTTGCACGAGTTTGCCATGTCCTTATACAGAGGGCTTGTCTGAGGCAGACCGAGCGGGCGCACTTCGACCCAGCGAGCCACTTCTCCAAAGCACCCACAACGCCGGAGAACCTGCAGCGGCCCCAAAAGACTCGGCTTTATAGGTGAATATAGCTGAAAGGTGAGAAGGGTTGTGAGAAGATTGTGCAGTTGTGATTTCGGAAGCTCCTTGCAGTGAGGACGAACATCTCCACAGGTGATCGTGTAGAGGTGGAGTACGAGGCGAGAGAAGCAAATGAAGCCGATAGGCCCTGCTGCCCAGACATGTCTTTGTGCTGCACAGGGGCACTGGTTCACTGGTACCTTGCAGTCTGCCGTGGGCCCAGCCACCAGCGTTCACTAGCGGCACTTGTGAAGGAGGCTTAGTCGCTTAGCCGCTTGGCCGCTTGGCCGCTTGGCCGCTTGGCCCGGCAAAGGTGGAAGGAGACATCGTCAACGTGGTTTGTGATGCTGGGCCCTCTGGGTAGTATGTCGTGGAGTCGAGCACATCACGAAACGAGAGGATTGTTCTGAAGATCGGACAGGTGGACTCGCCTGGTGTGATCACCGTGGCCCCTGTGACGGCCGCCCGGTGCCGAGTGCGAAGTGGAGAGGGGCAATTCTTTCTACGCGAGAAGTCCACGGTGCCGAAGAAGCAGAAGCGAACAGAAGCCACGGGGGGCATCACGGATCTCACGCAGAAGCATCGGCAATTCTACAGAGTTCAAGATCTCTTGTCGAGGCATTGTCTGGTTTGCAGCGTCCCGAGGTGCGGCCTGCTCGACCATCGAAGCGCCTTTTGGAGGCCTCAATACCTCAACACACTGTTGCCAAACACTTTTGTTTGCGAAATTTGTTAAAGAGCTCTGCGTGCTCTTTTCTTTTTCTCTCGTGGCTGTATTAGTGGACTTGAGGACGCCGACAAGAAGATGCGGCACATGAGGGCCAGGCGCCGCACCCAGACTGATCCAGGGGAACTTGGGGGCGAGAACACTTCTGCTGTGGCACCGGGGCAGGTCTATTGGCTGAGCCTGAGTAGGTCTCTGTAGGTTAGGATAGGTCGGCGATTGGCCAATTGTGCATGTCGCCAACACGTTTTCCTGCGTGAAGGCCTTGGCAAACTTTGGAATCTCGAGGTATCTCCGCCAGTTGCGAGAATTTCTAAGAGTGTTCTTCGCCATGGCCTACCACGCTCTGGTTTCCTCTCCTTGGATGTTGAGCTTTCAAAACCAAGAGGACTCCGCACGAATTGGGAGCAGCAAAATTGCGTGTTCCTCGCCTGAATCGGCCTCGTTGAGGCCATGCATGACTACATACGACCTTGTCTGTGCAGGCAGAATATTCCCACTTTCCGAGCAGCTCGACTAAAGATTCTTTTGTAAATCTTCTCGCGAGTCTCTTTCACCATGGGACCTTCCGCCTGATATGGGCTGTCCGTGGACTGTCCGTGGAGTGTCCGGGGAGCATCCGTCTCCACCCATGTGGGCGGATAGCCATTGCGGGCTGCTGTACATGACGGGGCCGCTTCTTTTGAATACTGGGCTCGACACTGAGCTCCGGCCCCTCTCCACTGACGGCATTACTTGTCGCAAAATGTCGAGAAGGGAGAGGGCGTTTTGGGACTTTGCTTCTCATTGCACTGTGCTTGATCGCTGGTTTGATCACCTGTGCCGGGCTTCCGAGGTGCTAGACACATGACAAGATCTCCCGTAGCTTGTGACACGGTGTTCAGCTAACCAGTGTTCAGGAATACGAAGTATCTGCAGCTTTTCTTCATGCTACAGCCTCATTCCAAGATCACTTGCATGTCGGGCTCTCTGAGATGCGGCGCCGCCCCTCCCCACGACAGCAGGAGGCAAGGTGCTTCTTCAAGCTCAAGACTTTCGAGCTCCTGCGGGCAAAATAACGGGCCAACCGGTCATTGGGTCATTGCCCAAAACAGCCAGTCCTCAATTGCAAGTTGCATTGGTGCAGGCAGGACGAAGGGGGTAGCAGCTTGATGTAGTTTGTGCATTTTCTCGTTGAGCGCTCCGCGTGCATCTTGCGGCAGGCAATGCTGATCCTCCATCCCAGGCCCAGGCACACTCCTTTCGGACTCCTTTCAGTCTCAGATCAGGATCAGAATCTCAGAGACTTCACAGAGACTTCAGAGAGACTTCCTCTTCCATCGAGTTTTTCGCGAGTTTTGCGAAGCCTGCCTGAGGTCCTGGTGACCCCGCGATGCCTGCGCCCCCGAAGCGCCCGGAGGCCGAAAGGGAAAAGCCTCGGGGGGCGCCCCATCGCTTCTGTTGCGGGATTCCTTCTTGTGGCTCTCTTTGCTCCAGCCTCTGAGTTTTCCTTGTCCTTCTCCTTTCCTTTTCCTCTTCCCCTTCCTTTTCTTTTTCCTGTTCCTTTACCTTTCCATTCTTTGCTCAGGAGGAGGAGGGCTCTGAGGGTCCTGAGGGCCTCCCCTTGCAGCAGCCGGTCCCGAACCGTGTGCCTGCAGGCTCAGACCCAGAAGCTTCAAACGCTTCATTTTGGAGCAGCCTTGGTATCCCTACCCCTCTCTCTCTGTCTCTATCTCTACGTCAGATGTCAGGGCCCGGAAGGCTGTCGAGAAGGAGTAAGGCCACGGCGCGAGAAGTCGATGAAATGAGCGTAGGACTGAGTAGGACTGAGTAGGACTGAGTAGGACTGAGTAGGAGTGCAGGCCAAGATGGCAGCCTTGCCCGAGGTGCACTGCAACGTTGCAGTCGTAGCACCTGTGTTGTGTGATGTCACCGTGGTGTGTGTGCGTGTGTGTGTGCGCGTGTGTGTGTGTGTGTGTGTGTGTGTGTGTGTGTGTGTGTGTGTGTGTGTGTGTGTGTGTGTGTGTGTGTGTGTGTGTGTGTGTCTCTCTCTCTCTCTCTCTCTTTCTCTCCTTCTTCTCTTCCTTTCGTTTCCCCTCCATCCTTGGCTTCAGCTGACCTGGTACGAGCTTGCACACGTGACAGGACCAGGAGGTGCCCCCACCGAGCCCGATGCAGTCAGGCTTCCGCGTTTTAGACGTTGGATGATTTTGGCTCGTGCGAAGATTACTTCTTGTGATAGAGCTTTGTAACAAACACCAGCAAAGTTATTGCAAGGCGTACTCAAGGATGTTAGGTGGGCATTAAGAACAGGACAAAGCAGCGAAATGTCAAAAACACATCGCCCTCGGAGGTGAATGCTTCCGCCTACGGCACGTCCGAGTGGAGGCCTTGCTGCAGGACGGGCAGATGTTGGCGTGATGTGTGACGTCCCCACCTTTTTGCTGCTTTTTTTTACATATGTGTGATTATGTATGTAGCACATCTACACTTTCTCGCAGCAAGCCGCGCACTCCAATGCTCTTGATTGGGCGCTCTCGAATGAGATAGGTCTGAAATGAATGCGAACAGGAAAGAGAAGCAAAAACGGCATGATGATGTGGCAACGGGCTTGCCCTCTGAGGTTTTGGGAGCAGTGAGGTGCAAGATGTTTACGAGTGCACAACAGAACTCTTTCTCATAGTTCGAATTCACGAGATCTGAGAGAGTCGTGGCTCACCCAGGGGCGACCACCGGTGGATTTGCTTAGCCATCCAACAGAAGTTTAAATCTTTGGACACATACGAACATTTTGTCAAGTCATCAGGGTGAAGCCTGAAACATCGCTCAGCACGGTTTTGATACATTGTAATAGCCGCCGAAAGTGCTGCAAATACCATGTTAGTCGTGTCAAAAAGGGGAGTGTTTGAGACACATCTGATTCGAAAGTGCTTATGTGCTCGCGGCGTGAGAACGCAGCACGTTTTTCGTCGCATGAACATGTTTCCGTGGGTTCTGGATTACGATCCAAGTGCGTGCGTGGCGCGAGAACGAAGCAATCTGTTGCATGAACATGTCTCCTTGCGCGAAGATTGCGATCCAAGTGTGTCCGCGATGCGAGAACGTAGCACTCTTTTGCATGAACGTGTCCCTTTGCGCACGCAGAGAAGACCAAGTGTGCCCGCGCAAGAACACAACAGACTCAGCCATGCAGCTGCATGTTTGTTCGCCGCCTGCACGTGTCTTTGCGCACGGAGCAAGATGGGTGGACGCGCCGGAGATTCTTAACTATGAAGCCCACCTATCTACTGCAATCATCACGTCTCGGTTTTTCATCATTACTTAATTGGGATTCGAGCTGGTAATCTTTGAATTGGGGCGACGTATCCACCAGCCTGTGGCTCGATTTCTTAATCGAGCGGTCCCCTCCCAGTAAATGAGAAATCCGGCCCCCCTCCCCCCCTTCAAAAAAGAGAAGTCCCCCCGCTATAAGAAGTTCAGCCCCTCCATTTCTTATACTTAAGAAATCATAAGAAATCCAACAATCCAGCCCCTCGATTTCTTAAGCCCCTGAGTTTTTAAGTCTTGGGGGTTTTGCCTGCCTCCCCCCCGGCACCCCCCACAAACAATCAAGAACGAAAGAAATTGAGCCCTTCAATTTCTTCAATTTCTTCATTTAGGTCCTTTAGGTCCTTCCCCTCCCCCCGCAGCAAGCCTGCAGTTCTGGACAGCAGCTCATGCCTCTCTTCTTGTGTCTGTAGGCTCCGCGCCGCACTCAACTAAGTAGGATGGTGTGTTGTTCATTCTCATACTCTCAATTTCGTAATTTAAACGTAAGAAACCCAACCTCGCAATATCTTAAAATTTTGAAAATACAGCTCCTTGAACTCCAGCCCCTAGATTTCTGAAGAAATCTCAAAACCAGCCCCTCGATTTCTTAAGGTTCTGCCCCCCCTCCCCCCCTCAAACAAGAAACCCAGCCCCTCGCTTTCTTACTTAAGTGGTTTGGGATCCTCCCGGCCCCCGCCCCTCTAAAATAAGAAATCCAGCCTCCGATTGGTTAAACGCTTTGCAGTTGTTTTGTGGCATGTTGTTAAGAACTTCTTTCTTGCTTCCCACAGCAGACTCAGGGGTACGATGTGTTTCCAGCTTTGGTGTTTTCTGCTTGACAATGTGACCATAGCAGACTCAGGGTTTCCAACTAAACCCTGCGCCCTGAGCATCATAAGTAGCGTGGCTCTATCCTCCGACAGACGTCTCTTCGACTGACCCTGAGCCTTAAACCCTAAACCCTAAACCCAGCACAAGATTGGGAGAAGTACGATTTGTCGCCACAAATTTGGGCTTGATTGTCAAAGGTGGGAAGAAGTACGACTTGTTGCCACCAGTTCAAGCTTGATTATCAAAGGTTGGAAGAAGTACGATTTGTTTCCTGTCTTGTGTATGTTTGGCAAGTCGAAAAGAGGAGACTCCGGGGTACGATTTGTTTCCAGCTGGTTCTGGTGCATGCTCCAGCCCCGGCTTCTGCATGCTTGGCAGTAGATGCAGGAGCCAATAGTCCACATCATCTCGTTCAATCTACTCCACTTGTCCAATAGCCCAAGATGCTCAGACACAACGCAATCAGGGGTCATCAAGCATTATTTCTGAAACATTCAGTTTGTTTGAGCTTCCTTACTTTCCCAGAACACAGGACAGCAAAAAAACCCTAGGACCTTTGAACCCGAAACCCTACAACCCTAAACCCTAAATGCCCAAAAGCAAAAAAGAAGAGTATGAAACGATCAATTGCCCGGCCGCTTTCCTTTTGTAGAGAGATGAAGGGCCCCACCACTGTTTTCATTTACTACGTTTCTCTTTATGCACAGTTTTGTTTTGCAGTTTGGGCCATGTTGTTCAGAAGCTTTGTAGAAGCATCCGAGTGATGTGGAGGAGTAGTTTCTTTTGTACAGCAAGAGTCGAGAGATTCTTGTGTGAGGGAAAAGTCGCGCTTGGAGAACCAGCTTCTCGTACTCTGAGAGTTAGTACTACTGTGAGTGAGAGACAGCCAATTATAGACCTCATACCACTACCGTAAACACAACAACTGAACTCCAAGAAGCCCTGAAGATAAAACCTAAGGTCCAAAAAGACCCTAACCTACATGTGAGGTAAGCAAAACAAGCGAAATGATCATTGGACATGATGACAATCATATCGGATAAGAGCAATCGTCATAAACATCATGTATCGCATCGCCGCAAATCCGAAGCGTAAACGTTTAAGTTGGGTTGATGAACATCATTGGAGGTCTACTGTAGTGCAATTTTAAACTACGCGACCCGCCTCGGCCCGGCCCAGTGCATCCGCCTGAGCATGGTGATTCCGCAGCGCCCAAGTCGCTGGACCCCAAGCAATAAGGGTTGGGTTTAGGGTTTAGGGCTCCGGGTTTATGGTTTATGGTTTGGGGTTTAGGGTTGAGGGTTAGTTTAGGATTGAGGGCTTAGGGCTCAAAGGTTCACGCTTTGGGGTTTAGGGTTTCTTGAAGTGTAGGGTTCAAGAGACGGTTCGGCTTGGATTGATCGTAGGGTTGAGCCAGGCCCCTCAGGGGGGGGTAGGGGGGGTGGGGGGGAAGGGGGGCAGGGGGTTTGTTGAAGGTTTGAGGGTTGAGTGCTCGGGCTTAAGGTTTAAGGTTTAGGGTTCAAGCTTAGACTCTTCGGCTCGTGTAATGCATCCCGGCCGTTCACACCAAGTTGAGCCTCGAAAACCCGCTCACCAATGTTAGAGGGGGGGGGGGTAGGGGGGGGTGGGCCTGCTGGGAGGGAGAAGCTACAGTGAGCAAATCTGGAGATGTGGAAGTCTGGAGAGTTCAGGGTGCAAACCTGGGAATGTAGAATGCTACGGTGCGAATCTGGGAACTCATAACTATTGCGACTAACATTCATGGAGGTCGGCTGTATACATGAAACGACCGAGACGATTGACCGCAAGTTCGAATTTTAAAGAGTTAGGTCTACAAATGTGCAAAGGCAAAGAAGCCCTGCATTCTCTTCCAGTATTCCCGACCCTTCAAAACGCAGAAAGTATTTCAGAATCCGCCGAGGCCTCGGGCCGGAGGTGTATAGGTTGTGAGAACAGGCACCCCCCCTAGATTCACAGATTTGCTCGCCTTAGCTTTGCACTGCTTGTCAGAAACCACCCCCCCCCCCCCCCCCCCCCCCCGACCCTCTATAAAGAAATTAGAAGCACCCCAATCTAAGGGGAGCCTCGGACCCTTGAGGCCCACAGTGGCCCCTCTGCTGTTGCCACAAGCTATTTCCACTTTTCGGTCCAGGAAAAGTTGATGTGGCTTGTCATTTTGATATAGTTCTAGTTCTGGGGTGTTGTTCTTGAGTGTTCAGAGCTCAGCAGCATGATCAGTACTTCTGTGTTAACTCTGCTGTATTGCTGAGAGACCATGCTTTCACCCCTGGAAAACCATAGTGACCATTCTGCTGTTGCCACAAGCTATTTCTACTTTTCGGTCCAGAAAAAGTTGATTTGGCTTGTCGTTTTGATGTAGTTCTACTTCTGGAGTGTTGTTCTTGAGTGTTCAGAGCTCAGCAACTCTTGCTGTGTTGCTTACTGAGTAACTGTCAAGGCTATGTGATTTTCGAAAGGCCGTATGGTACCCAGACGGTAGTTCAACTTTGGACTGACAGAGAAGTGGAATAACCTTATCAACACCACTAAGACAACGTCCAATGCCACCAAAATATTTTTGTTTTCCATGTGCCACTATCTTGAGCCCCCCCCCCCCCCTTGCCTGCGCCACATGTGGTTTAAGCTGTGATTTGCACAACTACCTTATGTGTGGTTTTTCATGGTTTCCCAATGTTTCCCAATTTGGAACGGGAGGCTTCCCCACCGGAGGCATTTGGGATCTCTATGATTGTAAACGCTTGCGCGCGCCGCCTCGGTGGGGGAACCGTGTATGATACGTATATATATATATAAATAAAGAAGTAAATGAATACAAATACAAATATAAATACAAATACAAATATAAATATAAATATAAATATGAATATAAATAGAAATATAAATAAATAAATAAATAAATAAATATATATATATATACATATCTATGTGCTACCCCCCCTCCCCCCCTCAGTTATTCACCTTTTTTGGGTGCCGGACCTGGTTTTACATGCAAATGCGCCAGGTGTGGTTCTTCTGGATTCCTGGGGTACCTCCCATGTATATTCCTTAAATTATATTTGCCAAGCCCTCAAGCAGGGTCATACCATCTTAGTCCCTAAATCCCTCAATCCTAAACAGGAGAGTTCTTGGTGCTCCCACGAGGCATAGAGCTTGTTCACTAAATCCTAACCGAAAGAAAGGGTCCCGCTCTTGAGGATGTAGCGAAAAGGGCTTAGCGAACAGATTCTTCCCTAAATCCTACTGGCTAAAGAACAAACCCCTGTATTCCCCTAAAGCTTAAAGTATAAAGAAAAAATCGTATTGGCCAAGCCCTAAACGTGGGGGGGATCCCAAACCTTAGTCCTAACCCTCTTCTCTGAATCTTAAGAAAAGGGATCCCTCAACCCTAAACAGGAGTCTTAAGTTCCCCCACCTCCCCCCGGCGCTTAAATCTTGTTCATGAAATCCTGAAAAACTTGGACGGCGAAAAGAGGGTTTGGGGAGCAAGACCTAGGGAAGGTTTACAACCCCGAAAGAATAGGGTGGGGGTCATATCCGCCATTTCTCCATTCTTGGATTCGGCCCACTACTGCCCGAATTGGGGCCTAATGCTTATTCGCGAAATTTTACTCGTCCAGGATATAGGACTAGGATCTAGGAATACACTTTAAAGCATATGTACTCGTAGGGGGCATCTCGTTTAGAAGAAGATGTAGGGAATTAGGGATCAAGGGAACAAGATTTAGGGAAAACGAGTTAGGGATCCCGCTCACTGGGATTTATCCAAAAGGCTTAGGGAAAAGGGTTCATTCCTTAAGATTTTGGGCCGATTTGGGGACTGGAATTCAGGGAATAAGATTTGGGTAACAAGGCTTAGCGATGCCGCTATTCAACGCTTGGCAGAAGGACTTAGGGAAAAGGATTTGCGTTTTAGGGCTTAGGGGCTCTCCTCTTCAGGATATACGAACCATCCTCTAGGCTTAGGGAGTTAAACGAAGAATCTAAGATTAGGAACCCCTTAGGATTCAGCGATAACATTTACGGACTAGGGTTCAAGAAGGGCTCTCCCCTTTAGGATTGAAGGACTCTTTGGGGCTCAGGGAATCGGATAAACGGAATATAGTTAAGGGAATGAGATTTAGGGATCGTGCTCTTTAGGATTACTCACATTCCACTACTGCCCGAATAGGGGCTAAATCTTATTCGCTAAATCCTACTCGAACGGGATATGGGACTAGGATCTAGAGAAAAGATGTAGGGAGCAACGCCTTCTAGGATTTTAGGAAGCCTCCCTTTAGGGAATGAGGGAAAAGACCGGAATGCTGACATACGCGCACGAGCCTCAAGTGGGAATGCTTGTTTATACGATCGAAACCATCACTGTGACATTAAAGAAAATCTTCACAGCATAGAGGCCGGTTAGATCTAACCGGATCCGGTTAAAACCGGGCCTGTCGTTTGAAGATTGATGAAGATTGATGAAGATTGATGAAGATTGATGAAGATTGATGAAGATTGATGAAGATTGATGAAGATTGATGAAGATTGATGAAGATTGATGAAGATTGATGAAGATTGATGAAGATTGATTAAGATTGAAGATTTTTTTGGGGGAAACGTTCAAAAGTGTCTGTTGGGAATCTTCAATCAACTTCAATCTTGAATCTTCAGACCGAAGGCCCGGTTAGATCCGGATCCGGTTACATCCGGTCATGGGTTTCGCCATTTCACCTGAGTTCAACACTATCTGTTCATTATCGATATTTTCAAAAACTTTCCAGAAAACAAAAATGAAAAAAAAGGCACTCTTCCGCCCAGAAACCACCAACATAGGTAGAGAACTGGGGGGGGGGGACCACACACATATATATATATATATATATATATATACATTTACGTGTATGGATCGTCTTGCCTCATGCTTGTCGAAGCTGGCTGGAACGGGGTTCGGCATATTAGCTCTTGTAGACGCCGTCTCTGAGTTTTGTCCGTCGGTTCAGGCTGCAAGCCCAAGAAGTGATTTGAGAGGACGGTACCTTGGGACTCCTCCTGCATGGCACCTCCGTGGTCGGGTTTTGTTGCGACGAAGCATCCTCTCATGGCTGGTGGGGCACTTACAGGTGGAGAAGCGCTTAGCCGCTTGCATGCTTGCGTGCTTGCATGCTTGCATGCTTGCATTCAAGTCGGTCTATTCATTGCGTACCTCGTGTAAAGGGCATAGAAGAAAAGCCAGCGCGTTGTGTAACAGAAACCATGGGCCGACAACAGCCCTTGCAGGGGTGATTCTGGGCATTCTGGGTTCCCTGACCCCTTAGCCCTAAAGCCTGAATCCTGAACGCTAAAGCCTACAGCACAAAGCCTAATGCCTGAATTTCATGGTCCCCCGCTCCAGGCCCAGAGCAAGACGTGTAAACCCACGCGCAGCTTAAGCATACTGTTCAACCGCGCCAGGTCCGCAACATTTGCTTTCTATTTACCTTCAAAGGTTTAGGCTTGTGCCTCTCCGTGCATGCCTTTGTCATAGCAGGATGTTGCCTCTCCGTGAGTGGCCTCAACCCCAATCCCTACTTTCTGCTATGGTTTCCATCCTGGAATCCGTCGCAGACGTCTGATTCCGTTACACCCCTTAGACAGAGGTATGCACGAAGAGAGAACCCACCGGGGGGCATGTGCTCCCCAACAACTGGGGGGTGGAAAGGACGTGCTCCGCACAGCAGCCTTTGTTCCGCGTGCTGCCAAGAAGAGTGCGGTGGATTGGAGGGGTTGATCATAGCGCGCCCTACACATTCTCCCCACAGGGGGAGGGGGGAGGGGTTGATAACAGCGTGAGCTCCACTGCTGCCCAACAACAGGAATAGGAGTCCCTTGAGACTGTGAGCCCAGAAGCCCTTTAAACAAGAAAACTGTTTGGACACACTCACAAAGGCCAATTGTCACCCCCTTGTGAAGAGGTGAAGAGACTAGGCTTCCAGCTGGGGTTCGATAGGCCCAATCGACGGGCCTGGGATCAAGGTCTGATGTCGTTTCAGTGCTTTCGCATACGCTGCGACACAGCTGCGCATTGAGGCTGGTCGGTGATCAAATCGTGGAGATCAACGGGAAGCGCGTGGCCGCGTTTGACGAGTTCCTCGAGCAGTTCTTGGCCGCGCAGGTCCAGGCAAGCCCCAAGCATCAGTGCAGCTTCAGTGCAGCCTCAGTGCAAGATGCAGCAGGAATCGCAATGTTTTCCGTGCTTCAGGGCTTCCCCATCACCTTCAGTGTGCTCCGACGGGAAGCTCCAGAGCAAGTGCCGGAAGAGGCTGTGAGGGGTAAGGGAAGCAAAACAGCAGAACACCTGGCAGTCCGAGGATCCGCTGGAGAGCTTCTTCAGTGAGATGGACTTTGCGGATCTGGCCGGACGGCCGGGGACGTAGAGCGAGGGGTAAAAAACAATTTGCACCAAATGACTCAGCCCAAGACACGGTAGAACTCGGTAGAAGCCATCCAAGCAAACTTTCCCAGGCTGAAAAGCAAGTTTGGCGGGTCCCCCGGCAAGGCAGGGCCAAGCTAAGGCAGCTAAGTGCCGCCGAAAGCAGTTGTCCGGAAGGTGGCAGTTGAATCAGTTGATTGAGTCTCACGCTTTGTTCAAAAGAGCCCCTTTGTGACTTGGAGGCCGAGCTGGCAAGCGCGGGCACTGGCAGCTCAGGTCTGAGCAGATGTAGTCAGATGTAATCAGATCTAATCAGATGTGCTTAGAGATGGAAGTGTGACTTCCACAGCTTGGGGCAGCTTGGGGGATGGGGATGGCCCAGAACCAACGTCTCACTGAAAACTGCAGCCTTGAGCCTCCACAACTGACTGGCACCGCGAGTGGTATTCGTTCCACTCCCACGGCCCTTTTGCCCACCGGCAGGTGATGCCATTTTGGAGAACCCCTACATCCAGGCGCGTCGCGCCTCCTCCGCAACTTCTCCGTGGAGATATTCGCGCGCCCGCGAAAGAGAACGAACCCTTTCTGGGGGAGGCTTTGCGCCGGAGGCGCACTGAGCTGAGCAAGAGCCCGGAGGGCTGGAGCCACTGGCAGATGTCGCGTTCAGTTCATCTCAGTTCCAACGTGCTGAGTTTCTCCATGGGGCCTCCCTTGTCCTCCCTTTGTCCTCCCTTTGTCCTCCCTTTGCCTCTTCTCTTGTGCTCTTTGTTCTCTGCTGTCATTCCCTCTTCCGACTGTTCCTCTCTCCTCTCTCCGCTAGGAGCGAGGACAGCCCGTCGCTCGCTGCCAAGATGGCCACGGAGCGCGGGGACGCCCTCGCCACGCTGTGCCTCGGATTGGAATACGCACATCCTGGCCCTCGTGCGTTTGCTGCTCCCTCTCTCTCTCTCCTTCTCTCCCCTTTGCTCTTTCACTTCTTTCCTTGTGACGTCACTCCGAGCACTCGAGCGAGGAGCCGGGCGTCCACCGACACGCCTCGGAGGCGAGCGTACCCCAAGGAGAGCGAGAGAGAGAGAGAGGGTCGCCCTCAGAGGCAGAGGCAGAGGCAGAGGCAAAGAGAGTTGGATGGCTTTATGACAGGGGGGAACAGGTTGAAACAGCAACCAAGGGCCAAGGGATACCTTGCTGACCGCCCGGGCCTCTGGTGGGCGAACGCACGGGTGAAGGGCTGCGGCCAGGATCCCTCACACCTGTAGGAAGAAATTCAAAAGTCTCAGAACGGGACGGGGGCACGGCGCCAACGACTGCGGAAGAAGGGGCCGGTGTTTCAGAGGTCTTCGCCCCCGTTGCCCCCGAAAAAAGGCTTACAGCGGCATACCAAAGCAAAGGCAAAGAAGGGAAGTAAGGGAAGTAAGGGAAGTAAGGGAAGTAAGGGAAGTAAGGGAAGTAAGGGAAGTAAGGGAAGTAAGGGAAGTAAGGGAAGTAAGGGAAGTAAGGGAAGTAAGGGAAGTAAGGGAAGTAAGGGAAGTAAGGGAAGTAAGGGAAGTAAGGGAAGTAAGGGGAGGCCGCAGCTGAAAGATCACCAGAGGAACAGTGTCAGAATCTCCAGGAGCCGAATTTGCAAGACAGAAAACGTCTTCAACACGTTTGTGAGAATAATGCCTGCGCAAGTTCGAGGCTGCCTCCACCTGTCATGTCCCGTTGCGGGACGACATGATGGAACAGCACTTCTGCGGCTTCCCGATTTAAGAGTCTCTTGAGCTTGGTCCTGACATCGAACTTGCTCTCAAACAGAACAAAGAGACCTTGGTGTGCAGCAATTTGTGTGCAGAGCGGTGCAAAAAGAACAGGTTTGACCGGAAACCTGGCCTACTTGATTGGCGAGGGTCCAAGAACAAGCTGTGGTCAGTTCGCCAAGATGGTCTCTTCGAAGTCTCTCGGCTCCCTCTCTCTTTGTGGATACAGAGGCGTGCTCCATCCTGCTCTATACAGATATCTGTTCTTGGAGCTGGAGAACGGAAGCATCTGCACTGGCGTGTCTGTCTGTTTGTATCCACCGCACGCCTTGTTTTCTTTCAGACGACCAGAAATACAGCCTGACATCATCAAAAGCTTGTTCTGCGATGGGTTTTCGTGGTAGCTGCCGAGCTGCAGATCCACAGGGGGATCCCCCCAACAGTTCGTGTGCTGTTCGCTGAGGTCCCTTTGCGTCATGAGGCCATGCCACGAGAAGGAGGTGGAGCGTTGGCCTGCGGATTTGCCTTCATTGCTTCTCCAATGCGTCCCGTTTCCTGCACAGGTCGCCGATGAGCTTCGGACAACCCCCAGAATGGACTACGACTACGCGCAGGTTGAGCTGCGCCGTGATGTGCCATGCCAACGACCACCAGACCTAGTCGCAGGCGCCAGTGTGGCTGAGCACGAACAAGGCGGACAGTGACAGAAGGACTTTTCTTGGCGTGTGAGAAAGCCAGGGAGCGTTGTCGAGCTTGCCTTTTCTTAGTCTTGTACCGCCTCCACATCTCTGGGAGCGTGTTTCCATATACCATAGACCCATATAGACGGACACCCACACAAGCACTTGCGCCCAGCAAGCATGGACAAAATGCAGACCCAGCAAAACGAATGCACAACAGAAGGTGTCTCAGTACACCTATAGCCTATAGTACATCTATATGGATGCGATTTCAAGATGCCATGCGCAGGTGCCGAATGCGGTTGTGCTCAGTGCCCGGGGACAGGCAACATAAGGCAAGGGGCAATTAGTGCAAGTTTTTTGTGGTGCATGCAATGGCGCCTGGTGCGGTGCCAGTTGAAGATGGCAAGGGCGACCTTGGCTCGGCTCAAGCATTGTTAGCGCCTCATATGAGCAGCATGCGGAGGTGGCTAAAACATGATTCACCCCAAGCAAGTTGCTCCTTCAGAGGACTTTCAGGCTTCTGAACTGAACTCTTCCTATCGAAAGCGGTCACCCGTTGAGACAACTTGGGGGACCGAGCACCCCCGATATCGGCAAAGAGTCTCAGGACAAGAGAGATCAACTGAGCCAAAAGTCAAGAGCTAGCTCCACTGTAGTTTGCCAGCTTCGCCCTGGCGCCGTCAAAAAGCAGGCGTGCGCAATTCCCCTTGATCAGAGCTTCTTGCTGAACGTCTTCTTACCATATATCTCGAACTTGAGACTTAGTCTCCCGGAGAGTTCTGGAAAGGGGGGGCGCGCTGAGCGGCGCGCCTGCCCCGCGGTCCTTCTCCCCACGAGATGCAAAGCCAGAGCTACGCACAAGCTCAGGGGCTCAGAGTTGGGGAGGAAAGAACCATTGGCAGTCAAGAAGTTCAAGAACTTTGGGGCCTTTTCTATGTGAGTGTCTAAGGGCACGTTGATCTGGATCAAGCACGAGGAGGAGGTGCCCCGGGTAAAATGCTCTTCGCTGGGTTCATTTGGGTCTCTTTGAAATCTTTGAACCCTCCGAGGTATGGATCCAGGCAGAGATCGTCACTGCCAACGACAAAGAGATCATTGCCCCGGCCTCAGCGGGCCTGGCGGTCACAAGCTTCAGAAACAATCAATGCCCCTCGCTACAATTGCACTGCGTGGAGGTCAAGACAGCAGAAGACCCAAACAGCAGGATCGTATTGGGGCCTCACGAGCCCATTTTCCTCAGGACTGTCAAGTAGCGGAGCTTTGAGGGATTGAGGGATCGAGGGATCGAGGGATCTGAAGGCCTGTTGGATGTGCTCAGGACCTCAGATGTTTTCACGTCTGAGGGCCTTTCAGTGCTGGATGACCTGTGCCCCCCTTTCAAGCAATCGCACGTGGCATGTGGATCAAGCGTTCTGCCGTCGACCTCTTGGGGCATTCGCGAGACGTCCTAGATGTTCAGGTGCCAGCTGACGCACCTCCACGAGCCGGCAGTGCCTCAAGGGTGTTTCAACACCTGTTTTGAGCCCCCAGTTTTTGAGCCCCGCTTGGTTCAGCACCTTCAGCAGCCTCTCGTGCTGGCCCGAAGCACCTGAACAGGTGCTCAGCTCCTTGCAGAACCGCTTCGACATTGACAAGATCTACACCTTCACGGGCCCCATCCTCATCGCGCCGGGGTCCTCGGGGCGATCGTGAGCGATGTGGTGAGCGATGTGGTGAGCGATGTGGTGAGCGATGTGGTGAGCGATGTGGTGAGCGATGTGGTGAGCGATGTCGGGAGCGGTGGGGGGAGCGATGGGGGGAGCGATGCGAGCGTTTTTTGAGGCTCAATCCCTTCAAGAGCATACCTGGTCTTTACGATGAGGAGGCCCCATGCCTGTTACAAGCCTCTGTAGCGCACACCATGGCTCTTAGCAGGTCCTCAGGAGCTTCATGACCACCAAGCCCTCCAGCAAGCCGCCCTCCACCCCAGCTTGCTGTAGAGTGCAGAGCGGAGTGCAGAGCGGTTGAAGAGGTTTGGAAGGAGTGGGAGGATGTCTGGGGAGAGCGTGTGCCAAAGAGAGGACACACCGTGACACCTGAGAGCAGTCACTTCCCTCGCCTTCCCCTCTTTCCCCCTTTGATCCCTTCTCCCTCCTCTGCGCTAGGCACGTCTTCAACACCTCGAACGCCACCTACCGCGGCATCTGCGACCGGCGGAAGAGCCAGCCAGGGCCCAGAATAGAGCCGAGATGATGTCTTTTCGCATCAGCGTGCAAGAAAGCGCTCTGTCTCGTCAGGACGGTTCTCATCAGCGGCGAGTCTGGAGCTGGAAAGACGGAGACAACGAAGTTCGTGATGCGACCCGACTTATCCTTTAATGTGTCGTGAATAAACATGGTCGAAGCGCGCAGAGGGAGGAAGGAGACATGAGGAGTCATGTCGTGAGCCACCGGAGCAGAGACTGAGCCAGATGTGTCTCTTGTTGGGCGGGCCAGTGGCGGGCCGTGGCCCCGCCAGCCGGTTGCGACATCCCGAGCGCGAGCATTTTGTTGAGAGGAGCTTGGGGTAGAGGGAGAAGAGGCGCCCCCCCCCCTGCACCACCCGCTCCAAAATCCAGCCCTCGCAAGAATGCATGAGAAAGAGATGGGTATGAAAGCATGGGAGCATGAGGAAAGGGGAGAGGAGGAAAGGGGAGAGCAGGAAAGGAGAGGGGGATGACTTTCTGCGATTCAATAAATATTCAAATCGGTAACCCGCTCTGAGCCTAAACGCCCAGCGGGACTTTCTTCCAGCGCCACCTATGCCACCATAGCATTTGTTCCGCCCCCAAGTTTTTCTACAAGAGCGCTGAGGAAGTTCCTGGCTATGGCCGGGGCTGCCGACGGGCAGGTGACCAGTGCCGCGGCCCTCAAGACTCCCAGATTGGGGGGGGGGGGTTCGAAAAGGAATGAAAAGCATGAACAGAAAACATCAAAAACAATGAGAAAACAGAGCCATCTCCGGCTTCCGGTCTCTGAGGTGGAGAAGCAAGTCTTGGAGTCGAACCCTTTGCTCGAAGCCTTTGGCAACGCCCGAACACTGAGGCCCTGAGCGAAGTTCTCCGCTGCCAAAGGATTTGATTTTGAACTCTTGCGTATTAAGCATTGCGAGGAACGACAACTCCAGCCGATTTGGAAAGCTGCGGCGCTCAGGGGAGAACCCTTGTTGTACAACGCTATGTGAACAGCCGTGTCGTCCAGGTTCATCGAGCTGCAATTTCGAACTTCCAGCCAAGCGTTGTCCTGAGCTGCAGTTCTTTCCTGGCTGCTCTCATCTGTCGCGCAGTTTTCTGCTACTCTACCTGTTCTTCTACGATGGTTAACACGATGAGAAGCTAACATGTAAAGCTGATGGATTTGTGTAAAACGAGGATGCATCATCCTTGGGCGTGGCCGGCGAGAATTGCCGCCTCTGTGGTGCGCGCATCCAGACCTACCTCCTTGAGAAGGCGCATTTCTCCTAAAGGAGAAGTTGTCAGAGGCAACTGCGTGGGACGCAGGTGCGCGTCTGCGACCAGCAGGAAGGGGAAAGGAATTACCACCTCTTCTACGAGGTGCCGGTTGCAGAGTGATCTCTCACATGGGCTGCCGACGTGTGAAACGCTGCGAGACGTGTCCTACTGCATTTTACCAGAGATGTCCCGGCCATTAAGTACCACCTTTTCAGGACCCTTGCGACTGCACGAGAATTGTTGCGCTTGAATGCTTGCGTCAGCGTGCGATGTGCGGTCTCTTTCGGCCCACTGCGCAAACCAACACTGATTCTCAGCTGGAGCTATTGCTTGTGAAGCCTTTAAGTCAAATTTCCTTGCTCCGGATGCACTGGCGTCCGTGTGCGCGAGTCCTGCTCCTCCTCCAAACAATTATCTGCATTGCTATGTATATAAATAAATGCTCACCGCCCCCCTTCCGATGACCCACCGTGAGGCCGTGTCGGAGTAAGAAATCCATATTTAGTCATGGGTATGAATTTAATAAGAACCCTATTAATTGAATGCAAACCCTATGAAAATTAATACGAATTCGATTAACAATTAATAAGACTCGTATTGCAATGAATAAGAATCTTATTGAATTAATAGGAAAATGACTTGGAATCATATTTGAGTCATAGGAACTCTCTATCAAACGTCATGGGAATGCTATAAAGATGTAGAAATAATGATAGGGCCCCTGTGAAGAATAGTAGGACGCCTGTGAAAATGAAAAGGGACCCTTTTTGAATTCACGGGAATATGGGAATTCTATTAGATCTAAATAGGAATCCTATTAATATTTCTCTTGATCTTGTTATGATGAACTAGAATCCTATTCAAATTATGAGGAACCCCACTAAAATTCATAAGAGCCCTTTTACAAATTAAGAGGATTCTTTTCAATGAAGAGGGTCCTACCATCAATAGGAATTTATAAGCAACACCATTAAAAATCACAAGAACCCTATTGCAAATTAATATGAATCCTTTGAAAATGAAGAGAAATCCTCCTAAATTTTTTGGAACCAATAGGAATCCTACAACAAATAAATGTGGTTCGGATTTCTCGGCTTCCTGTTAGAATTAATGTGATGTTGGCTCCAAAACCATCTTTGTACGAAGCATAAGAACCCTATTGCAACTTAATAGGAATCCTTATAAAATGAAGAGAAATCCTACTAAAATTAATAGGCCCTGAGCTGTGTGTGGACCACAGCGTGTGGTAGGCTCAAGGGCGCCGTCGCAGGATTTGGCCGCCTGTGACTGCCGGTGCCCCGGAGGCGGACCAACCCACACGGCCCTGCTGGGCCTGGTGCTGCTGGCTGGTGCTGCTTGCTACGTGGGTGCCCTACGCTGGTGCTGCTGGCTACTTGGGTGCCCTGCTGGCTGGCTGGTACTTGGGTGCCCTGCATGGCCTGGTGCTGCTGGCTGGTGCTGCTTGCTACTTGGGTGCCCTGCTGGGCCTGGTGCTGCTGGATGGTTGCTACTTGGGTTGGGTGCCCTACTAGGCCTGGTGCTGCTGGCTGGTGCTGCTTGCTACTTGGGTGCCCTGCTGGGCCTGGTGCAGCTGGATGCCTGCTACTTGGGTGCCCTGCTGGGCGTGGTGCTGCTGGGGTGCTGCTTGCTGCTTGTTTGCTCTGCTGGGCCTGGTGCTGCTGGCTGGTGCTGCTTGCTACTTGGGTGCCCTGCTGGGCGTGGTGCTGCTGGCTGGTGCTGCTTGCTACTTGGGTGTCCTGCTGGGCCTGGTGCTGCTGGCTGGTGCTGCTTGCTACTTGGGTGCCCTACTGGACTGCTGGCTGGTGCTGCTTCCTACTTGGGTGCTCTGCTGGGCGGTGCCTGCCGGCTGGTGCTTGCGTGCTACTTGGGTGCCCTGCTGGGCCTGGTGCTGCTGGATGGTTGCTACTTGGGTGCCCTGCTGGGCCTGGTGCTGCTGGCTGGTGCTGCTTGCTACTTGGGTGCCCTACTAGGCCTGGTGCTGCTGGCTGGTGCTGCTTGCTACTTGGGTGCCCTGCTGGGCCTGGTGCAGCTGGATGCCTGCTACTTGGGTGCCCTGCTGGGTGTGGTGCTGCTGGGGTGCTGCTTGCTGCTTGTTTGCTGTGCTGGGCCTGGTGCTGCTGACTGGTGCTGCTTGTACTTGGGTGCCGTGCTGGGCCTGGTGGTGCTGGCTGGTGCTTGCGTGCTGCTTGGCTGCCCTGCTGGATGCTTGCTACTTGGGTGCCCTTCTGGGTGTGGTGTTGCTGGCTGGTGCTGCTTGCTACTTGGGTGCTGTGCTGGGCCTGGTGCTGGCTGGTGCTGCTTGCTACTTGTGTGCCCTGCTGGGCGCGGTGCTGCTGGTGCTGCTTGCTACTTGGGTGCCAGCGCCTGGTCCTGCTGGTGCAGCCGCTTCTGCCCCAGACCCCCGAAAACCTGGGTCTGGGCCAGATGTGTCTCATGGCTCAGGGATGCCACAGGTGCCACAGGTGCAAGGTACCTATTGGGTGCCCTACTGGGCTGGTGCTGCTGGCTGGTGCTGCTTGCTACTTGGGTGCCCTGCTGGGCCTGGTGCTGCTGGCTGGTGCTTGCTTGCTACTTGGGTGCCACCTGGTGCTGCTGGATGGTTGCTACTTGGGTGACCTGCTGGAGCTACTTGCTGGACCTGGTGCTGCTGGCTGGTGCTGCTTGCTACTTGGGTGCCCTGCTGGGCCTGGTGCTGCTGGCTGGTGCTGCTGGCTGGTGGTGCTGCCTGGTGCTGCTGGCTGGTGCCGCTGGTACTTGAGTGCCCTGCTGGTGTGGTGCCTGCTGGTGGTACTTGCGTGCTACTTGGGTGCCCGGCTGGGCCTGGTGCTGCTGGTGCTTGCTACTTGGGTGCCCTGCCGGGTCTGGTGCTGCTGGCTGGTGCTTGCGTGCTACTTGGGTGGTGTGCTGGGCCTGGTGCTGCTGGATGCTTGCTACTTGGATGCCTTGCTGGGCGTGGTGTTGCTGGCTGGTGCTGTTTGCTACTTGGGTGCTGGGCGTGGTGCTGCTGGCTGGATCTGCTTGCTACTTGGGTGCTGTGCTGGGCGTGGTGCTGCCGGCTGGTGCTGCTTGCTACTTGGGTGCCCTGCTGGGTCTGGTGCTGCTGGCTGGTGCTGCTTGCTACTTGGGTGCCAGCGCCTGGTGCTGCTGGCTGGTGCTGATTGCTACTTGGGTTCCAGCGCCTGGCGCTGCTGGCTGGTGCAGCCGCTTCCAGACCCCCGTTCTGAGGCCGAAAACCTGGGTCTGGGCCAGATGTGGAATCACAGGAATGGCACAGGTGCTACAGGTGCAAGGTACGCAGGTGACCGCATCTCCACGGGAGGGTTGGCTATTTCGGTGCCCTACTGGTCCTGGTGCTGCTGGCTGGTGCTGCTTGCTACTTGGGTGCCCTGCTGGGCCGGTGCTGCTGGCTGGTGCTTGCGTGCTACTTGGGTGCCGGGTGCTACTTCTTGGCTGGTGGTGCAGGCTGGTGCTGCTGGCTGGTGCCGCTGGCTGGTGCTTGCTGGTACTTGCGTGCTACTTGGGTGCCCTCCTAAACCTGGTGCTGCTGGTGCTTGCTACTTGGGTGCCCTGCCGGGCCTGGTGCTGCTGGCTGGTGCTTGCGTGCTACTTGGGTGCCCTGCTGGGCCGGTGCTGCTGGATGGTTGCTACTTGGATGTTTGGTGGGCGTGGTGTTGCTGCTTGGGTGGTCTGCCCTCCGGGCTGGCTGCCGACTGGTGCTGCTTGCTACTTAAGTGCCCTGCTGGGCCTGGTGCTGCCGGCTGGTGCTGCTGCTGGCTCTGCTGGGGCTGGTGCTGCTTGGTACTTGAGTGCCATGCAGCCGCTTCTGCCCCAAACCCTCGTTCTGCCAGATTCTCTGGTCTCATGGCTCAGGAATGCCACAGGTGCCACAGGTGCAAGACCGCATCTCCACCCGAGGGGTTGGACCAACTGGCTACTTGGGTGCCCTGCTGGGCCTGGTTGCTGGTGCTGCTTGCTACTTGGGTCTACTTGCGTGCTCTGCTGGGCCTGGCGCCACTGGTGCTGCATGCTACTGGTGTGCCCTGCTACTGGTGCTGCTGGCGGGTGCAGCTTGCTACTCTGGTGCCCTGCTGGGCCTGGCGCTGCTGGCTGGTGCTGCTTGGTTCTTGGGCGCCATGCTGGTTGCCCTGCTGGTGGTTGGTGCTTGCGTGCTACTTGGTGGGCCTGCTGGCTGGTGCTGCTTGCCTGGTGCTGCTGGCTGGTGCTGATTGCTACTGGGTCCCTGCTGGGCCTGGTGCTGCTGGTTCTTGCGTGCTACTTGGGTGCTCTGCTGGGCCTGGTGCTGGCTGGTGCTGCTTACTACTTGGGTGCCCTTCTCGGCCTGGTGCCCTGCTGGGCCTTTAGCCTGCTGTGCCTGCGCCGCTGGTGCGCGCCTGTTGCGTGCAGTTCTTTATCGTCTCTTGGCCGGGTGCTCCCGGGGCGCTCTGCCAGCTTGAACTCCAAGCGGAGGGGCTATGACGTTGTACGGAGCCCCTGAGATGCCGGGAGGGATGGCGCCTTAGGCACGGCACTGCTACGAGCAGGTGCCAGCACTCACTCACTCACTCACTCACTCACTCACTAAAATTAATAGGAACCACTAGGAAACCAAAAAAAAATGGAAATTAACAGAAACCATAGGAATCCTTCTACATTGAATAAGAACCCTATGAAAATTCAAAAGAATATTATGAAATGGTAGAGGAGTCCTTTTAAGATGGTTAGGAACCCTTTGACGCTAATCGGAATTTTTTAGGAACCCCAGGCAAAATTCATAAGAAGAACCCTATTACAAATTGATAGGAATCCGTTGAAAATGGAGAGGAATCCTACTAAAATGAATAGGAACCAATAGGAATCCTACAAAATTCAATGTGGTTCGTTTTCAACAGTTCTAGGCTTCCTGATATGAATCTTAAAAAAGAAGTATGGGCCCTTTTTCATTTCAGAGGAACCCTTTTGGAATTAGAAGAACCACTTTAAAATGATTAAGAGCCTTGTTGAAATGCATGAGAACCTTATTGAAAAGTACTAGGAATCCTATGACGTTGAATAAGAACCCTCTGAAAGTTCATAAGGCTAAA